AAATTTTGTACCAAAGACGAAGAATCTTTTTCTTCTTCTTCTTCTTCTTCTTCTTCTTCTTCTTCTTCTTCTTCTTACTCTATTTTCTATTTTTCTTCGAGATAATGGTAGAATTTAGGCCACTTCTTTTTCTTTTCTTGACACCCCTTGCATTTTTTTTTCTGTGTATATCTCGGCTCCTCTCTGTCATTTATATTCAATATTTTTGTCATCGCGTTATATGAATGTTTTATTAATTTACGCAGAATTTATTCAGGCACACGTACAGTGTCCAGAAAGTATTATTGAATTTTTGTCTTCAGCATTGATCATGTAATACTTTATAGGATGAAAACTCTTTTATCGATTTACAAATGTTTTCTCTTTCTTTTATGCAAGCACATCGTATACTATAGCAATAGAAGAGCTTTTGTCGAACTTGTGAATTTATTAACCCTTTCCCTCGATCTTTATTCCAACCTATGATCATTCGAAAATACCGAAACGAGAGAGAAAAATAGAAATCCAAATTTGTTCTCTCGCTTTGCCAATCTACTACACACGTACAATACATTTTACAATTTGAATGGTAGAAACGAGCAAGGTAACAAGCACGTAAACTTTTTTTCCTCATCAGCTAGAAGAGAGAAAGAGAAAACATGAATTAATAATATCGACACTCAAAGCTACTTTAATTAGGAATTTTCTTAGATTTTTCCTCGTTTTCCACGTAACGAGGAACAGAATATTCGAATACTTCGACCGACGGAAACAACGTTGAGTAGAATGAATTTCTCAACTACGATTAAAATTTTGCAAGATCCTCGAAGGAAATATTCTCGTTGAAAAATAATGAGATCGATTTTTATTTAGAACGACCTGGCTATATCGTTTCTTTTCTCTTCCCACAGCTACGATGTTTCTGCGAAATTGCGAAAGACGAAGAAACAGAAAAATCCGTCATTTAAACGAATATTTTGGCAATATCATTAAAGATCGATTCTTTTACAACTTGTAATCCTTATCATCCAAAATTGGAATCGTTTTAACAAAAATATCCATAGTATATGAAAAGCCGGCACAGCGGAGAACACTAATATCGATAATAGCAATATTGGTTCTTTTCCAAATTCATATTACAAATTTCGATCTGTAAAAGAAATGAATTTGATTTGATATAGGTGTTACCTGGGACATTCTCAGGGAAAGATCAATATTCATAGAATAATATAGTTATACGGGTAACGTAAAGGGATTGAAAATATTGTAAAAGAAAATAATAGAGTCTAATAAGGTACTTTAGCGAGAGAGGAAGTTCTCTCGATGTTCGTTTATTAAACAAGCGTATCCGGCATTTTGTTATCGCAGGAAAGTCACGTTTCATAGTTCGTAGAAGAAGATTCGTTGAAGTTCATTAACGTAAATGAGAAGATATTCCCAAAAGAGACGACAACTCATACCTATCGTATTCTCTTCGAAAGGGTAGAAGAAGGAACGAAGGAACGAGATCCTCTCGAAGTACTCTTATCGTAGATTTTACACGTCGTTACGTTCCATGAATATGTCGTGGCGAGTCGTGTACAGAGTTTAAGATGGATAGTTTCTAACGGATCTGAATCCTTAATCTCTTTATACTCGTTGGGAGACATCCCTGAAAGCTTCTCACCAAATTCGAATCAAGTTCGAGGTAAACGTATTCGTCTTATGTTAGTATCCGAAAGAGAAGCTATTTTCTAATGATTTCCAGCTGAAATGAAATACGAGCTTTAGTTCTATTTAACGTTACGTCCAAATGTTAAATTATTGAAAAAGATTAATTACTTTGGTAATTAAATATCAGTCATTAGAGTAAAATTTGAGAAAAATGTATGAGTATTAATGGTTCTACGCGAGCACGTATTTGTTCCTGATGAAACAATATTATTAGAAAGTTGGAAATTTGAAATATTTTCTATGTATAGAAAATTGGAACACAATTTTTCCGGTTCGTTGGACTCTCTTTCATTTACGCTAGGAAAAAAATTGTGATAATGTTTCTTTACCGCGCGATGCCGCTATTATATTTTGTATGAAATAAATTTCGTGTCATTGTATATGAAAAATGAATAAATGAATAAATAAATAAACCGACGAGAAGAGAATAGAAATAGTATCATTATCAATCGTTGTTTACGATGCATCGATCTTTTACTGCAATGAACAAAATAAATAGAACGCAGAGTAGATGTAGATGAATAGAAACACGTATAAATATGTATAATACGTAAGCGGAACTTGCGTTCGTCGGTACGCTAACTCCGAAAATAAAAATTGGAAGACGAACGTGGGGCGATTTAGTTGGCCGGTCGGCGGCGCTGCGTCCTCGAAACGTTTTCGATTTAATTTTAGAAATCCTCCCCGCACCCTCACCCTTTGCGACCTTAGTTCCGCCGCGTTGCCGAAACACCACGGACGCGAATTTTTCGAAAGATGCAAATGTTCTCTTCTTTATTGGAAATATGTGAGAAAAAGTGAGAGAGAATTTAGGTTCTTTCAGTTTTGGAAAAACATTGTAAACCATAGGAAAAGTTCGCTTAAGCGTAAGAGAATTAACGTGTTTTAGGCGTCGCTACCCAATGGCGCGTCGTTCGCGAACTTAGCATCGTAAACTTTGAAACAATCCGAAATCTTCCAAGAATTTTCTATACGCCACCACTCGAACCGTCTTTCTATCATTTTATATCCTTATTTAATTTTCCTTCCCGAAATCTCACGGATTCTCTGAACGTGAAACGTTGTTTTCCCTATTGCCGATGGAAGCTCAAGAAAATCAGATGAAAAAGATATACGTGAATGTGAACGTTAACATCTGGCGAAATTTACTCAACGAGATTTCTTACTCATTCTCGTGTCTTCGGAATACGTATTTGTGCATGTGTAAGTGTGCGTCTATACACCTATGCGTGTGAATTAAATTGATTATTTTAAAGTCGTGCAAATTAAAATTTTATAACGCTTCTCTATTTTCGTTGCGCGTTTCTCGCGATATCTAGATTAAGTTTAAAATAACACGACGTTTTTCCCTCATAAGATTTTCATCGGAAAATTTTTCAGACGGATTCTTAAGAATAAAAATAAATCTAATAAAGATAGAAAATATTATCGAATCCATGACAATGTAACTCATAGTACGTGCTCATTTGAAAAAGTAATAAGGCGATTTAAGTTAAGACTTTATATCATTAATATCGGAAAATGGTGCGCAAATATTTCGCTAAATGTAGTTTCTCAGTTTCTCGTCGATCCTCCTCCTTTCTCATTTTCCTCTCCTTCTACGAGAGGATAGAGAGAAAAGAGAGGAAATTTAACGCGAACGTTTTCGAAGTTTGCTAGGCAACGCTTAACGTCATTCCTAACTTGGAAATTGCATTCGACTATATTCGGAATACTAGCTATCTGTACTTACTTGCTGTGTTATCGATGCATGCATATCTATATATGCGTGTATGCAAGTATACGCGACAGACGATATCAAACTAAACCGGAAATTAAAATCGGTATATATTCCGTAATTAGTACGTCATTAAAATTGCGTACTTGGTTTGTCTCTGTTCGTGGATCTATATCATATAACGCAACATCACTATCGCCATTTTACATTTATACAAATATAACGTTATTCGATTAAATGCATCATATTCGAAAAAATGAATATGTCGAGATAAATATTTTCAATATTATACTATGAAAATATTTGACAAACCTCATTTACAAATGAATTCTTTATAAAAAACGTTTCGTTATTTATTACACAACAGTTTAATAAAGTAAAGCTTCGTTCTTCTCCGATTTGTTTCGAGTCTATTCTAATAAGTTAGATTCAATGGACCGTGTATACCGTATGTAAGCTCGAAATTTTCGAATTTTCACGAAAGTGTTCTATCGGAAAATCGAAGTTTGGGTAGAAAAGGAGGGAAATACGATCTTGTTTAAAGGTGAGGGAAAGAAAGAAAGAAAAAAAGAAGAGGTAGACATTTACGGGTTGAATTTCGAAGAAAGTCGTTTTCGAAGCTCGTAAGTGGAGCGTAAATTCGAAGGATGAAGTTATTCGTTGATCGTTCGAGAAGATATCGCTTGTAGGAAGTTTGAGTATGAGTTTAAGAGAAAGAGAGAGAGAGGGTGAAATACATACACATACGCATTCACAAATATAGAGATAGTGGACCCGTTTATATGTATTTTAGTTCAAAAATAGAGTAGGCGTTCGAGTGGTGTTCCTTTTCCCCGCGTATGGAGCAACGCGTACGTGCGTTCACCCTTGTTTGCACCGTCGCCAAGAATATCGTTGAGAGAGAGAGAGAGAGAGAGAGTAACGTCGTCGAAAGTAACGTCGTCGAAAGTAACGTCGTCGTATTTTCGAAGCATAAGAACGCACAAACGTTTTCAACTTTTCAAAGAACGTGAGTTAAGTCTCGTGACTTTTTTCCTTTACTACACGACACGACGAGATTCTATCAAATCACAAGTCCTGCGTGATTTTTATTTCACACATTTATCCTTTGCGATGTCAATATTAAAATCAAAAATAGACCACAAATTTCGAGGAATTTAATTGATAGTGGAAAAAGACTAAGAACGATGCTGGACCCGAAGAAAGTGTTTCGATTTCGTCCCAATAAAATCTGTGATTGGAATTTTGGATTGATAAAAGAGTTGAAATAAACTATGGAAATGGTGTAAAACACCGTCAGTATTTGTAGAGACAGTATTGGAGAGACTTCCTGTGTTCCGGAAACGTAAAGATTCTACATTCTAAAAATAAATATACTTTTATTTCGTTCGTCGACCGCACTCAGGAGTTTCCGTGTTAACGTTGATACGAAAAGTGATTTATTTGCTTTTATAATTAGCGTAATTGATAAATATACTATTAATTGAAATTAAATTCTAGAAAAATTCTAATGACCAAGTGTTAAATCAATTTAGACACCATTAAATCGGTGAAGGAATTGAAAGATAAACAGTTAAAACAAATGTCGAAGATGCTTCGTTTGGAGTTGGTTGGCTTCGTGCTTTTAGCTTGCACGCAAATTCTGACGGAACATCGTGATTCACGTGAAACGCGTCCTCCTTTCATCAATTATCCGAGGTATCATCAAGAAAACGTGGAACCCGTGACGAAAGATGTTAAAATCAAACAAGGTCGATTACGTGGCATCGTGATCAAACCTAGAACCAATCACAATCTCCAATTGGTCGACGTTTTTCTCGGTAAGTGTAATTGCATGCTTCAATAGAAATTCTCATTTCCATTAAACGTTTCTACGAAGTACAATTCCATCCTGTTTTCTACTAATTTAACGTTCCACGTTCATTTAATTAATCACGTTGTGCAATCTATTCGCTCGGTCTCAATAAATAATATTACAATTCTTTTCTAGAAGCTGTAACAAAAGTTTGTTGTAGGTGTTTTGTAAAATATTCTAAAAATATCGTTAAATCGTTAAATAAATATCGCGAAAAGAAAAAAGAAGTTGCTATATCATAATAATATATACTCGTATTTCGTAATATCGAATCCTGAAGATAGCCTCTGTCTAGATATCTTCAATGTGTATCAGCGTGGAAAAATTCTTTTAAACCCGACGATATCCTTGTAAAGCTGTACATTCTTATACATACCGATAGCAATCGAGATCGCGTTCTGCTTATCGCATATAACGGAAACTAGAAGAAACAGCGGCGTTTACCGTCGTGAAAAGATATATTCTATGAACCATGTTGATACGAATATACCTTGACTACATAGATCGCAAAGTCATTGATAGAATATTCACAATTCGAATAGCAGAACTTTTGAATAGACGAGATCGAAGTTTTTTTTCGAAAAAAAAAAAAAAAAACGCTAAACGTTTTCATTGACCTCTCCCGAATCCTTTATCTGAAAAATGTGTGGCTAAAGTTTTATTAAAAATGCGCGCTTTAACCGAAAACTAGACCATCTGAAAATAATCCTTTTCTTTCCGATCCTCCAAATATTATAGATGGATAGATAGATCAACCGAGTCTGCCAAGTTGGTTCGACATAACGTTTAAATCGTTAAAGTAAAAAGAGAGAAAAAAAAGGGGGGATGTACTTTTTATGCTCTTTGAAATTCCACGAAAGCTTCTTGCGAGAAGGATGGAAGTTAAATTCGGCTCGCGGTGAGAGGATCGTAATCGCGGAGTTTCGCAATAGTTTTCTCTCCCTCTCTCTCTTTTAGCAATCAGGATCTCCCTCCGATGGGATTCGATACGCCGTTAAAGAGAACTTCGCTTGGAAGCCGAAACTTTCCATGAGCGACCTCCCGCGTTTGATCAACGTATCCGCATGGCTTTGAGAATTCCGATACGTTGAAGGATCTAAAAGAAGAAGCGTCCTGGGTGTTTCGGGAATAGATACTCTCTGCTTCCATTTTCTTGTGTCTCTCAAGAAAAAGATAAAGAAAGAGAGAGAGAGAGAGAGAGAGAGAGAGAGAGAGCTCTTTGCTAACGTACACGAGAGTAAGTAAATGCTTTTAAAAGTAACACGCATGGTTCGAAAACTTCAACAAAAGCTTCGCCCTTTGTACGAAATCTATAAGTTTTTTCTAGTGAAAATTTTTCATTTCAAAAAAGAATAAAATCTGGGACGTCCCGAAAGTGCCATTGTGTATCCTGCTGCGAAATACATAGGAAGAGTTTTAAACGAGGTGAAATTGAATTAAAATGATTTTGATAAAAATCCTTGTTTTGTTTAACTGAAAAGAAAATAGAAACTATTCGATTTCATGTGTATTAATGTGAATCAATAAATGAACGAGATTAAGATTACATTATGTGTTAATTTACTATGTGTAAATTATTTACATATATAACGTTACATACGCTATATTATATCGATAAACCGATAATACAATATCGTAAAATGTTCATAAGAATATATGTACTTTTATAGGTATGCAAGGGAGAATTGGACATTTTGTTTTACGTAAATATGTATCCACCTATGTAAATATTTGTATGCAGGCCGAATAGGAATACGCGTAAAAACTCGTCGTTACCACATTGCAAACTTAATTAGATATACAGGAAATATAATGATAAAAATATAAATATTATTCGATATTTTGTTTAATAATTGTTGTTAACGATCGAAAAGAACAATAAGAATATTTTGCATTTGGAAATATTTATTCAATCGAATGACTTTTACAAAGAAAATAGTTGCGATAGAAGTTGCGCGCGTATTTTAAACGACTCATTCGATCGGACGTACGTACATTCGTGGGCGTTTTTAATTTCCCGAGTGAATTTGAAGTTTCGATGGAAAATACTTCAACTTTCACAAACAACAGGGGAACTCTCCCATCACCAAAGTGAATTTCACAAAGGCATGATCTATCGGGAATCTCCTCTCGTTGTAGTTAAAGTTGGTGTCTAGAATGCAATTACAATGTGTTCTTCCAAGCCTATATATGTAAGTTTGTAAATTGAATTTGCTTACTTCTTTATTATATATTCTTATGTTTCTATAATTCATGGGTATCGTTATAGTATATGAAAGCAACCATACAATAATTTGACGAATCAATAATTTGTACTTTCTTTTTAGGAATCAATTTAAAATACATAAAAATGTAACGAAAAATATATTTATGTACACTTTTACATCGATGCATCATTCTGAAACAATCAAGCCGACACATTTCAAGAAGATTATTTGTCTTTTTCAATGAAAATACGAGTCTCGCGGGCCCATGTAATTTCAAGCGAATAATCAAGTTCGTTTACCTTTATTCGCTTTTTGTATTACGAGCCAACAAAACGAAGTAGCAGATATTTATTTGCCGGTAAATCACGAAGTAACGACGCCTCCGGCCGGCCATTATTCAAACGTGTCCGAATTCTGCCACAGAGCAGCTCTTCGCGGTGCATTGAGACATGAAAAATTCATCGTCACGATAAAGTCCGTTTGCTGGCCGATCTATCGATCGAAGGACCAATAAGTACAAACGGACGAGCCCTACCGAACGAGCTTTCGATTCGACGTTTGCGTGTAAACTAAAGTTTTTACCAATTCTTTCTCATCTTCTTTTTGTCAGGAGAAACAAAAATCAAAAAAAAGAATGTTTCCAATATGAGAGTAACGATTATCACGTTGCACAATTATTCCTTCTTTCTCTGGGAGAATTACAACTTAAAATCCGTAAACAATTCGTACGAACAAATTTATTATGGTTACGCGTGGGAACGATTACCACGTTCCTAGGTTAAAATTTACTACACACCGTCAGGGGTCTTCTTTACTTATATAAAGAACAACACTACATCGGAGTAGGGCAACTATAATTGCAAACAATAAACCTATAGGAATATATATAAAATACATAAGAGAAAAATATTCTTCCAAAATGGGAAAACGACGAAACATTATATGAAATTACCTTTAATTTGATTAACAATCAGAAAAATGAAGAACTTGTTGGAAAGTCTTTTATGTTAATATTAAATGAAAAAGATTGATATTTCTTTTTTCTCGTATTCTTTAAAGATATTTTTCATTTCTACCAATGCAATATCTATCTACAATTATAATTATCCGTATCGATGAAACGAAACGTTGTAATCGTTCTCGTTCGCGAATGAAAAGCGGTACCGACGGCGTGATAGATTATTTTTTTTCCATATCGTTCCACACGTGTAGGAAACAATTTCGCTCGTTTGAAATTCACTCGATCGAGAACGAGATGTCTACTTTTACTAGCTTTTTAATCGATCAAAAAAATACGTTTGAGAATGAATCAAAAAGGAAGGTAAATGGACGGAAACAGAAATAGAAATAGAAATAGAAATAGATAGAGAGAGAGAGAGAGAGAGAGAGAGAATCACGAATTAATCGGTTTGATGGGACGTTAGATAGCAATGCTGACAAATCGACAAGTTGAAAGTGTCGAACTAAACTGTGCAACTATGTTTCAGGAGTCCCATATGCCGAGCCTCCAGTTGGTTCGCTCAGGTTCACACCACCGAGATCACCGCAACCCTGGAGAGGAACACGACAGTCACTGGAATTCGCTCCCGTTTGCCCGCAAGTACTACCGAATCTTACTGACGAGGTAAAACCAGCACGCTATGAGTATCTCGAGAGGCACTTGCAGTATCTCAAGAACCAGAACGAGGATTGTCTCTATCTTAACATCTATGCTCCCCATCAACCAGAGGGTAAGTTCTTTCATTCCATCTCGAATAAATTCCTCAAAGTTAGACTTACGAGTCCCGGTGAAATCAATATTCAAATATTTCTAACATCAAATATATTCAAATCGAAATATGTGTAATTGTTACTAAAGCGATAACGAATGAAATGAATTATATTTTTGCACGATTTACATTATATTCTATCGGCCGATTATTCGATAATTTATTTATCCGAGTACCCTATTCTATCTCGAATTAATTTAAATAATAAACAACGTTCAAGGGAATTCGTTAATAATACTTTATTTCATCTCATAATCAAAGCGTTTATTTTTGCCGCTCTAAGTGGATTAAAAAAAAAAAAAAGAAAAATTCTGTGTTTTAAGAAACGCAAGGGCTCGTTTTATTCTGCGTGAAAGAGATAAGAGCTTGCGCATTAATCATCGCTTATGAAACTTTTCCGTAGATTAACTTAATCCCGAATCTATGCGGTCTCGAAAGCGTTGCGATTAATAAAGGTATCTCGAACCGCGCGCGCGTACTTTTCAACCACTATTCTCAAATTCCCTCCCCATTATATCAAAGAAGTAATATCGAAAGCCTTAGTAGCAAATTATTTTCTCGTTTGTAATCGATGAAGCGGAATGTTATGGTATTACGCGAATTAAGCTGGTATATACGGCAACTTGGGAAGTCGGGCATGAAAACGCACAGCTTCCGAGCGAAATTCAAAGAAAATCGGAATCACGATGCATTCATTGAATAACGAGCCGTAACCAATTATTACAATTTGTAGAGAAGAAAATTTCAGTACGCGAACTACAAGTTTTTCAATAATTTTGCTGCGAAAATTTGAGAATCTAATAATCGGGATCTTTCCGAAGATTATTCTAAATATTAAATCATTAAATGTTCGACTTCTTAGAGGACCGTTCCGCGTTGCTTTGAAGCGATCAATGCAAGTCAGGTTTAACTATTTAGTATTAATTGTTATTCCATGATAACGCATTCCCCTCCGACAAGACGCAGCCGCTGCAGTCGAGAAAGCGGCACATTTAAATAAAACTTAATGCGCCATTTTAACGGGGAACGCGTGAACGTGCTCGACGGGCGTTCTCACGGAGAATGCACTTTAGGGTAATTACCGTGTACTTTATGCTAACCGCGTTCGACAAAATTCAGAGGTGCTGCCGTTCGGCGTAATTATTTTCACGATCTTTCCTTGTCTCCTATTAAAACGCGATAATAAGGCATTATTTTGTCGATCGATATTTTTATTTTTATCTTCTATTTTTCGGATTTCCAAAATTTATTTGCTTTTACAGAACATATGTATTTTCCTCTACAATTATTTATTTGAACGTTATGGTCTACTCTAACACGTACCGCCAAACCTTAACGAATATTACAGTTATCAACATGGATTTTCCAATATTTATATGCACCCCAGTCGACGTTATATGTTAGCCATTCTTCGTTGTCATTGCAACATGAACAAATTTTACATGGAAATATCGACACGAAACCGGTAGTTTTATGGTTGCCGTATTCGTATTCATATGGTTGAGGGATAAGGGAAGAAGGGATCGGTGGTGGATGATCGAAAAAAGGGAAATGCATCGATGCTATGTGGTGGGTGCTCGCCTAGACGAGCTTCACTCACGATCCCCGTGGTTCGTGGATCGTATCTTCAAAAGATGAATAATGAAAAAAGAAAAAAAAAAAAAAATAGGGAAAAAAAATAAAACACATAGAGAGGAGATGCTGGTAGCCGCAATAGATATGCCTGCCTACTTCGCGAATCGATTTTCATTTACGTAAAGGGCTCGAGCGAGGTCTCTGGGCTCTGGGCTTTTATCGGTAATTATAGGAAGCATTAAGAGTGTCGATATCGGTAGCTACGCTTTCATTTTTCTCATCCCACTTCGTTTTCTCTCTCTCTCTCTCTCTCTCTCTCTCTAGAATCCTAAAAGGATCTAATTAAAGGTATTCTACTGTGGCAAGGCGAATTGCCAATTAGCGGCAAGAGTAGTCTTACGTTCGAATCGAGATTCATTCTAATCCATTCGTTCGAACTCTTTCACTTCTTGAAATACGTTCAAAAGATCATCGTTTTTTCTCCACGAAACTTAACAAATATTTCCTGAATTAAGAAACACGAACTCGACGCGTTATTTTGTAACAAACATTATAAAGTAATTAGTTTCTGTATATTGAATGGATTGGGGGAACCAAGGAAAGGTAAAAAGTAATATGGTAATTATTAGGAAGTTAAAAGAAACTAATTACAATTATAATGTTTATGGTAAAAATATGTTAAACATTATACTGAAAGTAAAACACCATTGCTCGGGTCTAATCACGAGGAGGTAACCGCTTCCGAAGACCCACGAGGGATGTGMATCCTAAAAATGTCCACATCCGAATTCAATTCAAAGGAAATAAAATAATCTAACCGAGAGAACGATTTTAAGCTGCATCATTCTTAGTCTTAACAGAAAACTAATTAAAAAAAGCAACACGTCAAATAAATATATATTAAAATTATTTAATATTTAAAATATGTTAATAAGTATGTAATGCTTATATACTAGTACATATGTGTTAATTATTGATTAATATGAATATTTCATATCGGTATTTAAATAAACTTTCATCCACGTTGAAAAAACTTTAGCGAAATTAATTTCGAGGAGTTGTTTTTTAAAAAGAAAAAGAAAAAGAAAAAGAAAAAGAAAAAGAAAAAGAAAAAGAAAAAGAAAAAGAAAAAGGAAAAAGAAAAGATGTAAAAGAAGGAAAGAAGATAAGAAAAAGATAGGTAGAAAAGTTAGAATCAGCCGGTTATATCTTACGCGCATTTATCGAGCCTCGTCGAGTTGTGGTTCTAACCAGGGAATTTCCTTTCTTCCGTTTGAAAGTAAGAGAGATCTTTCGTCGGAGGTAGACGACTTTCGAAATTGCCGAGATGACGGGATAATTCCGCGTGGAAGAAGATGCACTTTTCCTGGGTGGTTGGGAAAGCCTTGGAATAATTTAATTCGACGTCGGTAAACAGAACTCATTCGTCTCTTACGTTGGAAAGGGAACGTGTGTTCTATACGATAGAAGGAAGAGAGAAAGGGAGAAGAAGAAAGTAGGAAAATCGCGATGAAAGATGCGCCAACGTTGCAAATAAATTGGAAGTGTCCAGCTACGGGTTAAAGGGGCTGTTTCGCGGAAGATATATGCACCCTCTTAAATATTGGATGGTAGTAAAAGGGGGTAAGAGGAAAAGGAACGCGAAAGGGGCTTCGGGAAAGGGGCTTCGGGAAAGGGGCTTCGGGAAAGCGGCTTTCTACTTGTTCGAACCATCTCAGACGCCCTTCGGAAAATATCGGGAAATTCATTAATACGCGATCTACGTGTACCGTATAAATCTTACCACGAGACAGAATTTACAGCATCATGTATTTACGCCGTTTTACAGACTGACGTTACGTGTGTTCAAGGGCTGATTCGAACTATCGTCTTTCTCTCTTTTTCATCTTATTTCTTTCTCGCCAGGATTTAACCTTTTGTCGGTGGAACTCCGTCGATAAATATCGATTACATACCGCTATCGATAGCATCGATATTTTTCAATATTTATTGATGTTATGGAAAAGTGCATGCATGGCTATTGAATATGTTGAAAAGTATCCGTAAATATTGATAAGTATGTATAGATATGAATGATAACCTTTCGGTTTATTGAACGATAAAATTCTTCATCCATTATCAAGAATAAATCATTCCTCTGTTATCATATAATACAATATAATATAATATGCACTATATATAGTATTCATTCTGTTAAAATATATATACAATATAATAATCTACTTAAGATTATATTACTCCAGCGATGTTGTGTACTATTCGCTGCAAAATATTTTGTATTGTATGGTATAATATATATAATTTAATAAAAGTATCGGTAGCTACACAGTCAGTGAAAAAGAAAAATTGTCGAAAGCTTCTCAAGACTTTCTTAAAACGGTACTCCTTGTGTGCGGTTTTCGTAGAAAAAATTTTAATCAATCTTTCTCTCTTTCTTTCTCTCTTTCTTTCTCTCTCTTTTTCTCTTTAAGATTGTACTTCTTTTAAAGGATCGTAGAATGAGATCCGTATACCGTTCAAGTTCCCTTCAGGATAAAGACGAAACCACCATTTTGTGGCAGGATTGAAAGAAAACGAGAAAAAGCGAGATGCGATGTGAGAATTGTTTTATGTAATAATAAAAGTTGACGTTGCTATTAAAGTCCAGAGATTTTCAACCCCGTGTGCGCGTGTGTACGTTCGTATATAAATCGTTTTATAATATATAATAGAAAAATAATAAAACGTTTTCTATTTTATAGTATCTTCTTTCTCTCTTGATATTTTGTACAAACACTCTCTAAATCTTATCCCAAGATCAATAACGAAAATCTAATTGACCACAGATGATGTAGCAAAATGATTGTGGAGTACCTAGCTTTGCTACAGAGAACTCGAAATATGCCCACAATTATGGCGATAACATCGGTGCGTGTCGGCATTATTACGTAACCGCAAAATGTATTTCGACTATTTCATTCTATGTGTGAACATTATATGTATGTACGTATATGCAACATACGTAGGACACTGCACAACCGCGATGACGTTTAGTGAAATAACGAAAAGCGTACGGTTAACCCTACTGACTTTTGGCTACCCAATAACCTACGATACATCTGCTCTAATATCTTTTACCAATGGGACCACGAATAACTGATTTTATGAGCTAAATGGGGCTAATTGCTATGATATTATATATTTTTTAAACAGACGTGGAATTTCACGTAATATTTGAGTATGTTTATATGGCTAATTACAAGCTGACCTAATAATGTATGCTATTTTTGTAAATATATATTCGCTGAAATTTTCATTTATTCATAAATTGATATATTTTGTGTATTCTCTTTTTATTTTTTTTTAAGAGAGAGAGAGAGAGAGAGAGAGAGAGAGAAAATGAAGCTCACATTCTACAAGAATGAGGATAAATATCTATAGATTAAATTCTACTTCACGAATCTACAAATCCCTTCAATCGGTTCTTTCTAGTTCGCTCGCATTCAACGGATGCTTTCTTAAAGTTCAATCATTTCCGCAAAAGATGCCAACAGAGAATACATGAGAGTAGGTAGAAATGTTTGCTGAAGTTTTCCTTCCACGTGACCACGCTTGAAGTCAAAGTTGTAAATTGCACACCGCATGCGAGTACCGTGTATATATTTGAAAAATAGCTACGGAGGCGTTTGCCTCGTTCAAATTTGAACGTGAAAAATGTTTGTCCTAAAACATTTCTA